CCCCAAAACCCCAAAACCCCAAAACCCCAAAACCCCTAATCCCTCTCCTAAATTTAAAAATCCAGTAATAAAAGTAATCCTTGGGCAGAACAAAGGTAAAATTTTAGGATATTTTAGCTTTGGATTTACAGACAGTAGAGAATTTGTGCGTAGGCATGGAAGGGAGTGTAGAGCCGAGGAACTTTGAGATGAGGAAGGAGGAGGGATTGGAGCTGGAAGGTTTGGGCTTGGAGGAGTAGAGAGAGGGGATGCCTCTGCTGAGGGTTTTGGTGTGCTTGTAGGGATTTTTACGGGAGGTTAGAGGTTTTGGGAGTGCTTTGTTGCGGGATTCAAGGTTCTGTGATAGTGAGGGGAGGAAGGGTTACATGTGAGACTACTTTGTAGAGAAAATGAGCGGATTTGTCCTTGGTCAGCTTTATGCGCTTCTTTGTGGTTACTAATTAAATTAAATCACCAAATTACTATTTCCAGATTGGTTCATACTTCGGTTTGTCAAAAGGCCATTCCTAAATAGATTATAAATTTCTTTACCTAGATAAGGTGCTATTTGCTAGTAAAACTATTCTGAGTCCCAGTTTTATTCTTTCATAAGTTATGGCTGCTTAAGTTATTCCTGGAATTGACTGAAGTAAGAGTATTCCTTAAAAATCCAGCCTTGGACTTCAGAGTTGGCTTTACTTTAGTTCTGGTGAAGGAATCTGATTTCTTAACTTTCTTATTAACTTTGGTATGCAGATTAATTTGCTTCCTCTCTACCATAAACTTATTTTGATTTTGATGTGCATTCATGATGTGCTTCAAGATTGGCTTTTCATAAGCCCGCTTCTTACTAAAACTTCCTGAAGAGATAGAGTGTTTTAAGTAAATATTTGGTGAGTTGAGCACTTTCTTCTTTAATCGGCTTTTCTTCAAATTCTTCTTCATATTTGATTCAAAACTGTTAATAGAGTAATTGACATAGCCGTTCCTGCTGCTATTTTGTGAGGATCCCATTATTTCACTCAGATTTTTATTCCTATGAGTCTTTCCTCTTCCCAAGGAATCTTTTAACTTAATATAAGTCTCTGCAATATGATTTCTCGACTGTGTGACTCTCTTCCTAGACCTCTCTTTGTTCACGGAGGGAAGCTTTACTTTGACCTTTGAAATTTTAATTAATTTCTGCGACTTTAGGAAATCATACCCTTTGATCTTGCTTTTCCGGAACCGCCTCTCAACTTCATGGAGATAGAGTTTAAATTGCTCCTTTTCAATTTCTTTATCTTCATGACTTTTAATTTTGATTTCTTCTGAGTGAGACCTAATTTTAGAAGTGCCTATTCTTAAAATAAACCGTGGGTCTTCATCCGGCTTGTTCCAGATAGATGCTTTCAGGCAGTCCTGGTCAATATAGGGCTTGCTCCTTGATTCATTGTCTCTTCACTTATCACCTTGGGGTTGGTTCCAATCAAGATTATGAGGCTGGGAGGTATCCCTTTTTAAAATATTCGACATTTTGTACTTAGATCGACGGGTCTCTACCAAGTCATTCTTCCTCCTTCAGAGAGCTCTCTTGTATAAAATGCCTATGCATAGGTTATTTAAGGCCTCTCGCACCCAAATATGTGAGTAATTACAAGTGAAAGTGATAAAATATTTCTTAAATCTCTTTGCTGAAGCATAGCCGAATGAAATTTTTAGGGAGAAAAAGCTGACTTACGTTTGTGGTTCGTAGAATATTTAGAAAGCTTGACTTTTTTATAACTTTTGGTTCTAAATTTCTCTAGAGATGAGCATGAATATAGATTCGCCTTCATCTTGTTTCCCCCAATTTTAATATTTTCAATAATTTGCTAGTAAAGGGGTTTTGGGGTTTTGGGGTTTTGGGGT